CCTTTGTTCTTTTTCCTCCATGATGTGGGAATTGTTTTAAAACCAATTGAAATCTGAAGGTTTTTCAGTTTTTTAGAAATGTCTGAGTAAGATTTGAGTTTAATATAATTTCGTATATTGGCATAATCTGAAAAATACTGCATATAAAAGCAGAAAACTGGAGAATGACCAGTTAAAATCTGAATTTACTGAACAGAAGTCCCAGACTCCATGGTGTAGCTCTGCCTATAATAGAGAATTCTCTGATTCTGTGGCTGATTGCAACACGAAATTTCCTTAGTTGTGAAATAGAGTATCTTATATAACTGCTAAGCTCTGCTCTTATTTACGAAAGAAGCAATACATTTTGTGGGTGTTTTTTTGTCTAGCTACTTACAATGTAGAACCATTTAATGATAAAATAATTTTGAATTCCCCTATAAAAAGTTGTAATTTGCATTCTTTTTCAGCAAAAATCTAGCATACCCAATCCAATAAAGAAATCGTAAGTGGTTCAGTTGACTTATATCTATAACGTCAACAAATAAAGGCCAGTTCAAAAACATGCAAAGCATGCTGTTAAATGACACTGCCAGGTTTTACAGATTGATTCAGCAATGTGTAGGTCATATCAACAACTAACTTGGCTAGTCTAATGTCACCACATTTCAAAAGTTGGTTCTTTTTAAGCACAAGAGTTTAAAGAGGAACTAGCCTAGCAGTTCTGTCAGCTGTTGATTGCTATACAGTGAAAAAGGTATAATAGTCCACAAAAACAGGAATCTGTGTATATAATTCTTCTGGAGAAAGTACTTTTAAGTACAGTATCTGAAGTCTTCTGGCACCTATACAGACTTTGCAGAGTGGAACATTCTGAACTTTTTCTTTAAAAAGAAAATCTGGAGGCAGAGAGCTTAGTTGAGCTTTCCTCTAGTAACCTGCATTTCGTTTCATAGAGGTAATAAATCAAGAATAATTGCATGTGAAATTTCAATTAACTTAAAAATAGCTTGTGTAACCTTGATTTTTAAAACGATAGCTCCTGCAATAGTTACAAGCATTCTAGGACAGTAAGAGCACTAGGGACACTAGGTTCTGTCTTTCTGTCTGTTTAGGTTTCAGTAAGTACGGTGGAGAGTAAGTACATTGTGCCTGCATTGGAGCTTACTTATGCTTTTAAAATATATTGACCAACAATTTTTGAATCTTCTTTTTTCCCCACTAAGTATGCAGACATTTGTTTTCATTATCTTTGACACTGTATTTCTCTTAGGAATACCCAATGAGATGTTCTGTTAATTGCCCAAACTACTTTTGGATGCTTTTGTTTTGTCTAAAAAAAAAAAAAAAAAAAGTTCTGTTCAAAAAACCATTTGAACTCTTGCTTTTGTATCAGGAAACAGTTATTTAAGACTCCCAGTATTCATATCACTGTTTTTCTTGGTCACATGAGATTTTATTTATTGACTGCCTACCAAATTCTCATGGAAACAGTAATTCAGTAGAACTTCAGATGCTGTAATTCATTAAGAGTTAAGGAATAGGAGTGCAATGAGAGTTGTGTGGTTTCATGGGTCTTTATTTTTCTATTTCCTGTGATACTTTTTCATATTTTAAAATTGATTCTGCAGGTACCAGCCTGGTGGAAGATACCTATCAATGTCTCGAAGCAAAATATTTGATGATGTCTAAACACCTGAAAGCTAAAGAAAAGTCAGTGGAAATCTATTTCCTACTCATTGCTTGGAAAATACTGTATTTATGATACATCACTGAACCAGGAAAGACCATTTTTGTTTAAAAAAAAAAAAGAATACGAAGGAACAACTATTTTGGAAATGCACCTGTATGATAACTTTACTACTTATGACAAGAATATGCTTCTTCTAGTGTAGGTATTGTTGTGCATCAGTGTGGGCTTTTGTGTCATGACCAAAAGGAGAAAACTATTAATTCAGTTAATAGAGGGTAAACTTCATAAATATACCTAGGGCTCAACTTGAACTGTAACATTGTGAGTTTAGGAAGGGGATTTTTTGGAAGGATTTTTTTTTGTATTTTAACAGATGCTATGAGAGCATCTTCATGCCTGCAAAGTGCAGTTATATCAATTACTACAGTAAACACTTTATAGAATTTTTCTATTTGAACTTTATGCCTAGTCCAAAATCTACTGAATTAAATTAAGGCTTCTTTTGGCTTCAGTGGTGTGTGAATCAGACCCTGTATAAGCAGAAAGATTGAATGGCAGGCTGTTCTTCATAAAATCATAAAACACATGCTCCAGTATTTAAAGGGTGGCTACAAAGAAGGTGGAGGCTCCCTTTTTAGCAAGGAGTCACATGGAAAAGACGAGTGGTAATGGATACGAGTTACTCCAGTTAGACACAAGAGGAAAATTTTTCACAATGAGATCAATCAGTCATTGGAATAATCTCTCCAGGGAAGTGCTGGATTCCCCAGCATTGGACGCTTTTGAGATTCGGCTGGACAGGGTGCCGGGCCATATTGTCTACAACATGCTTTTGCCAAGAAAGGTTGGACCAAATGATCCTTGAGGTCCCTTCAAACCTGGTATTCTATGATTCTATGAAATTTGGTGGCATAAACTTTGGAGCAAGGTGTATTGGTCAAGAGAAGCTTTTTTTTTTTTTTTTCTTTTCCAAGAGTATATGGAGATAAATGATTTTAGCATGTGTAAATAGTTGAAATTGAATATGGACCAGAGTTTCACTGTCATATGACCATATGTGCAATAGCAAGAATACGTTATCGAAGATACAATGACTGCTTAAGATTTTTACAGTTGTAACAGTTGAAAATCTTGGCATACTAATGTTTTTGTAACTGTAAAAGAAATATAATGTGAAAATTGAGTTAAATGCTGAAACATTGTAATTTGCACACACCTCAGGCACGGCTTCAAATTGTAGAGTATTTCTTTAAAAAAAGGGAAATACATAGCATGACTAGATAATGGTAAACACTTTCAATGTCCCAACTGCCCTGGCTGCATTATGTATCTGTTTTTAAGGTGCCTGCATTTTGCAGTAAGTTGTTGCAAAAAGAGTAATGCTTATCATTTGAATGCCATTCAAAAATGCCAATTATTAACACTGTAAAAAAGCTTCACATTAATTTCATTGCTGTAGATGTATTTTTAAACTGTAGTTAGTTGAATGAATTTTCAAATGTAATCATAAGGTACAAGATGTGGTCAAATTCATTGTATCTTTGGAAATTTGGTTAATTTAAAATGTTCCTTTATTGCAGTTTGTCTTAAGTCTTTACCACTTGGGAGTTCTCTTATGTGCTTATTGCAAAGTTATGTTGAAAACTGAAAGAGAACATGTTTCTATCATAAAATCTTTATCGTGCTTAAAAAACAGATGTCCTTTAAAGCAGCTAGGAATTAGTTATTCTGAAAAGTAAATCTTCATCAATGAGGTGTTCTACTAATTTTTAAAAATAGCCTTTGATTTCTGAAGTAATTGTTAATGGGGATCTGACTACCTCCTGTGATTTAGTACATCATGCATTCTAACAGTAGTGGTATTTGTAATATATTGATCTGCCTGTTTTAAAACACTGAATTGTTACTATGAAGGAGAAAAAATACTCTTATTTGTATAGAAATAATTATATTAATAAATTGGCAGACATAAAATAATTGTCAGTTCTGTTTTTAGGTGAATATGCTGAACGATTCAAGCTCATGCAATTTCCAGATTACCTGTAAGAGGGTTTTTAGTTTGGGTATTTTGTGTACTGTAAAAGTTTCATCAAAATCTTATGGCTGTATAAAGGACTGGAAGTTGAGAAAATGAGACTCTTTATTCAGATAGTTCTTTAGCAACTTTCTGTTAGCACCTATTATTTTAGATCTACTGAGAAATGCTATCCTGAATTCAGCCTTATATGTGAAAGGGGTTGTATATGTCCTTGGACATCCCTCCACATGAATATTCTTTGGCTTGATATTTCTATTTTTAAAATTTATCACATTTAATTGTCCAGAATTTTATTTGTAAAAATCTTTGGATGAAATAAGGTTCAAGTACTTCATTTAACTCTTGAAATGCCAGTACAAAGGGATCTAATTCAGTGCTAATAGAAAAAAAATAGAGAAGGAATGTGTGGTTTTTTGAATGCTTGTGAAGTATCCTTACCTCACTCCTGCTGACTTCAGAGTTGGATCGAGCCTTCCTAGGGCCTGGTTTTCTTAGAAATCAGTGGAATGGTTACAAACAGAATTTTCAGTGGGAACTTGGTCAGGATTTTATATACAAAAGCTAACTAGTCCCTGGTGTAAGCCTTCTGTGCAATTCTTGTTGGGATACGTTAATTGGAGGAGTTGACCGTATAAATTAATGGCAGTGGGAATTCAGTTGCTAACATAGAAATTCTGAGCTCATTGAGGTGGGAATCCACTGACCTTTTTTTGATGTTGGGGTGGAGTAATGGAGTAAGCAGTGGCTGCTTTTCGAAAGCATGGGAATTAGAGCTCTGAAAATATCTCAGAGAGTTCTCCTCTGGATTGCACTTGGAGATCCCCGGTGTCACGTGCTCCCTGGATGCTGGGTGTTTAAGTAAAGAGTTGGTAAGTGAAGTCAGGTTTCATCCGTAGTGTTTGTTGCTGACCAACATTTAGTTTTGCTCAAATTATGTGCAGTTTGTAGGCCAATTGATCTAAAGTGTGTTTTGAAAAGGTTATGGGTTCATATGACTGAATCCAGAAGACTTTCAACAAGGAAATACAGAGTACAACTATAAAAGGACATTGTAGAAATAAGGGATATGCCTGCACATCATTTGCTGTGTACTTCAGCTAGTTTTAAACTAGTTTGGCTACTGCTAGTACAAATAATGCAGACCTTGTCTGGGGCCTATGTGCCTAAGGATTTACCCCACTCCAGAGAGGGGGTAGATGCCCCGTTCCTGGAAACACTCAAGGTCAGGCTGGATGGGGCTCTGAGCAACCCATCCAGTTGAAGATGTCCCTGCTTGTTGCAGGGCGGTTGGACTGGATGGCCTCTAAAGAGCCCTTCTAACCCACTGGATGGCCTCTAAAGAGCCCTTCTAACCCAAACCATTCTGTGATGATTCCCAGCCAGATTGCAGCGACTCTTGATGAGTTCTTTGCTACTGTAGCTCTAGTCCTAACAGTACCACAGCTACAAAAAGTTAAAACTAGCTTTGATATGTTTAAGCAGTGACTGTACTGTAGGCTAGTGGTGTTCTTGCATCACATTTGATGCTCCAGATCAGGTGATCTAAAACACAACTGCCTTGCAAACTGCTTTGGGGAACTGAATGGTGACAAATTTATTCTGTCAGTTTATAGCCATATTTATCTGCAGCTAAAAAATGTCTATTATGTATTTCTTTATTATTTCACTTTCTGAATTACTGAGCAGTTAGGGTATACTTCCACTTCATCATCATTTCTGCAGTTTCCCCTTCATCTGTGAACACAAAAAAAACCCCTGAAAACACCAAAAAACCCACCCAAGTTAAGTACAAATATTTTAATATCTTCATGTCAAGGATTTAAACCAGTGAAAGGAATCTAAACAATCTGTAATGAACTTTGAAAAGTGGGAGTGAAAACAGTAGCTGTTTTAATACTGTGTCAGTGTTGGGTTTCTTAAAAAGTATGGATAGCAAAAAACTCCGATCAAACTTACTACTCCTACCAGGTTCGTAGTTCTCTTTTTTTTCAGGTGTTTAAAAACAGACATATTCTGGTATCTGTAATGGGAAATGAGTCCTCTGCACTCCACTTAAGGAAGATAGATCTCTTAGCAGTGAAGTCAGGGATTCTTTTTATGAGGGAAGGTAAAGAGCATACAACTTCTACTCTGCGCTAACAGCGACATTTTGGTCAAGCTATGATATATTTTATTATGTAGGTACGATAACATGTTAAGAAACAACAAACTTTATACTACTGTAACTTACACTACTGGAAGAATCATGGTATATAATCTGCCTTTATTTTGCAATCAAGAACTTGTAAAATAGTCACTAACAGTATTAATGGAAATGGCAGAAAGCTGCTGTCTTTTCAATATTTATTCTTGCTATTTTAAAACAACCATGACGATTTTTACGTATGAAGTGTGATTACTCTGATTTTCTGTAATTATGATAATATGTATTTTATTAAATTTATCTTGCAATACTGTAAATGGTAAGTGAAAAATACAGTATTTTGTTCCAATTTTCATAATTGCTGTAATTACTTGCAATCTAAGGGGCATTTACAATACCAAATAGAGATCACTTTATGAAGAAAAATTCACAAGGCTTAAAGAAATCTAACCTATTCATTACAGACGAATATGTGCATCTTAACTATTATCAAAAACACTACTTTGGGAATGTATTGTCTCCTAGCTTTTAGTTTTTCTTTAAAATTAAGAAAATAGCTAACTTTTTTCAGAGTAACTTTTTTGTGAATCTTGTAAACTTTCTGAAACTTTTATATTCCTTTTCTCTAATGGGCTCTGCAGGAGTGCATACGGCTTCGTGGCGGTTCTCCAGCCCTAGCTGGGCCTCTAATTAAGTAGTGTAGTCTGAAGCTGAGACATTCCTACACCATTTGCTTGTTAACAAACTCAGCATTCCTAGCAAAAAAGCACCTTGAACTAGATCCCTTTCTAATACATTCACTGCTGACAGTGACTGTGTTGCATTATATTTGGTATCTTCTGTTTCAGTGGTACGGTGAGCCCCATCAGGCTTGTGCTCTGTTTCTGTTAAGACGCACTGGAATGTATTCCTCAGCATGCTTTTGTGTGTTCTAGTTGTAATTGGCAGGCAATAATAATACACAGCTTCGGTTGTTTCTTCAGGATAATGTTGTTACATTTAACATATTCCTGTGAATTGTAATAGTTTCAGGGTGATAGCTTAGCTATCACTGTAGACATTAATTATTTTCTATAGAAATACCTTACATTTCTATAGAGGTATCTGGAAGATAAGGGAATTCAGTTGTTAGTACAGGTTTGGTAGTGGAAGATCTTCATTCTCTAGCATGTATCAAGGCAGGCTGTAGGAGTGCTGCTTATGGATAGATTATCCTCTTTTGCCTTATGATACAAGTATGTATGCATAATACCTTGTTTTGAAATTCACTGGGTTATAAATTTTTCTCTGTCGTGTTCTAAATTATTGTTGTACTGGATATATTTTTCAAATGTGTGTTAAAATATCTAGTCGAAGACTTAAGTTGGCATGAAATAAATCATTTCTGCAATACATTTTCCCTGGTGTATTTTAGATATTCATACTTCTCTGAAGTGTTTTGGATAGTGATCTTTTATAGAAATTTTACCTATCTCTTTTTTCCAGGTAGAAATTAAGTTTACTTTAGGAAACAATCCAACCTTGTTTTGGTGATCTTTTTGCATCTTCTTCAAAGCAGATTAAAAAGGGAACTTAAGAAAAAGCTTTGCTTGGACATGTCATTGTCAAAGTCCAGGGATGAGACTTGGACCCAGTACTTGGGGTACTGAGAGCTCACCCCAGCTGTGGAAACGCAAGCAGCTTCCACAAATGCAGGGAGACGGGCAAGCGCAGCCGGCCTGGCTGAAGGTGTGAGTAAGCTTCCTGCAGCACCTGGAGGAAGCCTGCGAGGACCCCATGTGCCCCTGGGGCTGGCTGGGCACCAGGCATTTCGTGGGGCGCAAGGTGGGGTGGAAGGTGGGGCTCCTACACCTCTCCCTCCCTCCTGTAAACAGTCAAACTAAGAGGTAATTCCTTCTAGAGTCCCCAGGTGTTGGTGAGAGTAGAGGCAAGAGACTGCACTACAGCTGGGAGGAGACAGGCAAAGTGAAGGAGTTCACTGTCTCTTCTTTCGTATCTTGCATAGTTGCAACTTTTGTCTTCCCCACCTTAAAAAAAAAAAAAAAAGTCAAATATAAGGTGAAGGAAGAAGAGCGAATTTTTTTTATTTCAATATTTCATTGTCTCTATTGAGCTACAATGGCAGGGTACGGTTTTAGATTTCTTTTTTCATTCTGATAAAGTGGCATTTTTCTTGAGAGGTACAGAAGTATCTTCTGGATGTTGTAAATCAAAAAGCCCTGCCCTGGAGCAAGTAATAATTCATGGTCTTAGCACATCAGAATATTTGTAACAACTAAGACTGGCTGATTCCTGTATTTGAGTATTTTTCATCTCCCATACTTAATCTGCAACTGCTGTTTTAAGTGAGTTGCAGGAAACGTTTTGCACACACACAGGCTGTGCTGTCACTGCAGTAGGAATGTCTTGGCACGGTTAGTAAAGACTTTGCCTGTCACCCCCCTTCTGGGACTGTCACCCCTCCCTGTTCTGCTGCACTACCAAGTGTCGTTTCTGGATCTTTTTGTTAGGCATTTTTAAGATACGTCAGTTCAGAGTAATGTAGTAAGTGAATCACACATGCAGCTGTTACGAAAGACCTGGACCACAAAGTTCGGTGGACCAAACCGGGCCATCTGTCATAATCCAGTAGCATTTTCTGTATGCACAAAAGAGGAGGTAGGAGTAGCAGGATGATCTTCTGTGTATGTTTTAAACGTTTTTCCAGAGATGGTTTGGCTGTGGAAGTGAGTCACTCTTAGCATAGTTAACCAGCCACAGTCTTCCTCCACTTACTGTGATACGTAGCTACTGTAAGCCTAATACTACGTAGTTCAGAGGATGGGAGTTGTCCCATATTAAATACTAATTTACCATTACTCGCTGTCAGGTTTTTATTTGCTCAGAGTGTGTTGTATAAATTCTCTTGTTTAATTGTCAGCAGTGGCTACTGAAACTACCTTGAGTGCTCAGTGAGTTTTACGTCTTCTGAAAGAGCATTTGGCTGACTGGGTTGTCAGGGTTGTGCATTAACCTTGCTCTGCCCTCCTCACTTCACCTCTGCGTGTGCAGGGCCACGGTGTGCCTGCCACAGTCTGTTGCTTGTTCGTCCTAGTCTCTGCTCTGCATACTGTGGTAAAGATCTTAACCCCTTTTCTTCATGACTGTCCTATCTTTTGCATCATCTTGTTATGCGTTGGTTCCTTGCGCACTGTTGCCTTCAGGATTTTTTGAGAGCTTTATCAAGAACCAAAAGTTGGTCAGGACCTGACTTGGGCAGAAGACGCAATTTTTCTTCCCTTCTCAGGGAACATGATCGGAGCTGCAAAGAAAGATTCGGCTCATAACAGAGGTCAGGTATTGGAGTGTTTTATGAATGTGGGTTATGCACAAACACAAAAGCTTTCAGGCTCCTTCCACAGAAACAGCTTGTCTGGTTAAAGGTGTGTGTTTTGAGTTGCTCAGTCAACATCAAAGCAAAGGTGTAACGGAGGCAGTGCCTAGACATGGTCTGTGGACAGCTGCTAAGCCTTTGAAAGCCAAGTGAACGCTTACAGTTAAACAATTCACTGCCAAATGAAATTGTTTCCAAAGCTTAGGAAAGGTCATCTATTCTGAGAAAACTTCACAAAGGCCAGATGCTGGTGGGAACTTTTCTTGTGTGTTCTGTGTTCCTCTTGTCCCCCTGGAGGCTGGCTCCTTCCAAAAGCACAAGTACTCCTGTAAAAACATCACGCTTTTTATTTTGGAAGATACTGCTTTTTTTAAATCTATGGGTATCGAGAAAAAGATGCAAAAGCGGTGTACTACTATGATGTGTTTCCGTGAGCAAGCAACAGCTTTCAAGCCCAGGTTTCACAAATAACTAGCAAGCCTACTGCAAGAGGCGAGCACTGGTTGCAGCCCGAGTGACACAGCATCACCTCTTTGGAGTGCACAGGGTATGGAAAGGAATGAGGCAAAGCAAACCCAGGGCAGAGAGAGACAGGACAAAGGAAGTGGGTTGAGAGGCAAAGCAAAGCGTGGGAGAGTATTTGAGCGGTGGTGACAAGGAAGGTGTGAGCTCTGTCTGCTCCTGGGGTAAGTTTACACCTTTTGCTGCTCCCAGCCTCACCTCGAATTTTCTGAAATCTGATAGCAACGTGCTGACATCTGGCCCCC